CATGTCTGCCAAATCAGATCGTTTGAGAAGATCAAGGATGTATTTTCGTTGAGAGAGAAGAAGACCTCCAGATTGTGGGATTACCTCAATACCCAAAAAGTTTAGGTCCTTCAAAGCGAATTGCAAGCTTAGAGTGGAGATGACATTGGCAATGGCGGCACCGTTATTTCCAGTGATGATGATATCATCAACGTATATGAGAACATAAATAATAATACTCATGTCATTAAAAATGAATAATGAACTATCCACCTTTGAGCCAACAAATTGAAGCTGGAGAAGACATGAACTGAGGCATTGAAACCAAGCACGGGGAGCTTGTTTCAAGCCATATAAAGAGCAATGAAGCTTGCAAACATGATGAGGTTTGGTGTCATCAACGAAACCTGGTGGTTGAATCATGTACACTTCTTCATTTAAATGGCCATGGAGAAAGGCATTAGTTACATCTAATTGACGAGTTTCCCAACCGTGGCTGACAGCAATTGACAGGACCGTGCGAATGGTGGTGGCTTTTACAACAGGACTGAATGTCTCAGTGTAATCAACGCCCTCTTGTTGATGAAAACCCTTGGCAACCAATCTTTCTTTGTAGCAATCTATAGTACCATCCGTCTTGCGTTTGACACGAAAGACCCACTTGCAACCAACAACATTCATAGAAGGATTATATGGAACAAGAGACCATGTGCCATTATGCATCAGTGCATTGAGCTCATCATTCATTGCTGCTCGCCAATGCTTGTGCTTATTGGCTTCAGAGAAACATGTGGGCTTATGTTGAGAGGTAGCTTCTGTCAAAAGTGCATGAGGAATAGTATACTTGGGATTTGGTGGGGGTTTTGGGTGAAGATTGTATCTTGTGTCATTACGCCCATGACTGGGATTGCCTCTTTGATTACCTACCAAATGCACAACTGATTCTAGACCACTAGAATTAGTAACGTTATGAGCAATATTATCATGTTGGGAAAGAATTGAATTGTCATTATTAGGAGGGGAATTAACAATGGAGTGAGAATTTAAATTTGAAATGGAATTTGAGTTTGAGGGAAGACTCGGTGAGTAAATAGGTGCATCACTTAAAGGAAGAGAATTATTAGAATTTAATGGAGGGGAACCAATAGGAGAAGAAAGATTACCAAGTGTGGAGGCCCTTACATCACGTGCTGAACTAGGTAGCTCTATAGGCAATAAAAATGAATTAGACTTTGAATTAATTGGAACCTACATCATGGGAGAGACAGAGAATGGAAAAGTTTGCTCATGAAATCGTGCATGTCTCGAGATATAAATCCTGCCAGTTTGTTGATTCAAGCAACGGTAACCATGATGATTTGGACTATATCCTAAGAAGACACATGGAAGAGAATGAAAATCAAATTTATTTTTATTATAAGGACGAAGGTATGGAAAAACTAAGCAACCAAACACTTTTAGAAAGCGATAATCAGGAGACTTATTAAACAAAATTTGGAAAGGAGATTGGCCATGAAGAACTGAAGTAGGCATTCAATTTATCAAATAAACTGATGTATCAAAAGCAAAACACCAATACTTTTTAGGGATAGATCCATGAGCAAGAAGAGTGAGACATGTTTCAGTGATATGACGAATTTTCCGTTCGGCAGATCCGTTTTGTTCATGAGTGTGTGGGCAAGCAATCCTACGATTAATGCCACATTTGTCAAAATGAGAAGAAAGCTTACGAAATTCTCCTCCCCAATCTGATTGGAAACTACGAATTTTAGTATTGAATAGATGTTCTACTTGGCTTGAAATTTGAAAAATACTTCACACACATCAAATTTTCGTACTAGAGGAAAAAACCATACATACTTGGAATAATCATCAAGAAATAAAACAAAGTAGTGATGGCCATCTATGGATGGAGTGGGAGAAGGGCCCCAAACATCACTAAAAATAAGCTCCAAAGGACTAGAGCTAATAGAGGTAGTGGGGGGAAGAGAAAACTTGGACAATTTTCCTAAACAACAGGCAGTGCATGGTTGCAAGTCCTTGGGAGGGAGGGAGGGAAGGAAGACTGTTGCCATTTATTACATGACGAAGAACACGTGGATGTGGATGACCTAAGCGTGCATGCCAACAAGAGAGACTAGCGCGCTCACTTAAGAAAACCATTGGTCCGTCATTTTTATTTGGTATGGCAATGTTGGAAAGCTTATAGAGACCATTTTCATTCAGCCCGTGAAGTAGAGGTTTCCCTGTTATTTGCTCCTTCACAACAAAAAAAGAAGGGTGAAATTCAGAATAACAATTATTATCTTTTGAGAATTGATGAGTGGAAAGAAGCTGTTTGGTGATATCTGGGACATGTAAAATGTTAGATAAGTGAAAAGAGCCTGTAGAACTTGAGAAAGAAGAGGAGCCAACATGAGAAATACTTAACCCATTACCATTACCAACTTTCAATTGATCTTGACCAGTGTAGCTATTAGCAATAGAGAGATTGGCAATATCTGGAGCGACATGGTGAGTGGCACCAGTATCCGGGAACCAAGCACTAAAATCACTGTTTGAAGTGGGAAAGGATGCAATGTGAGCAGAAGCATCATTGGGCTTGTCATATCTGTATCGACAATTAGCAGCCAAGTGATTTGTGAGATTGCAAATTTGACATCTTGCTTTTTGAGGAGAATGATTGAAACTTGGGAAATTTTGTGGGGTTGGCAGCAAACCACGATTATTTAGGTTAGAAAAGGATCATTGGTTGAATTGATGGGTGGACCTGTTATTGTAAGTTGATGAGCCGCGATTGTTGTTGAAGTTGGATGAACCTTGATTGTTCGAATTGAAGGGATTTCGGTTGTGCTGATTTGAGGAGCCTCTGTTCGAATTGGAATTTGATCCCCTGTACGCCATATTAGCAGAAGGAAGAATTGTGGAGTGAGTGGCATGTTCTTGGAGGCGAATTTCATGACTGACAAGAAGACTATGAAGTTCTGAATATGAGATAGGACTCAATTTGGTAGACATGGCAGTGACCATATCACTATAGTCATTCCCTAGATTGCGGAAGATTATAGCATTGAATTCATTAGCATCAAGTGGTTTTCCTGCAACAGCAAGTTGGTCAGCTAGAAGCTTGGCCTTTTGAAGGTAAGTGGCAACAAGAAGGTCACCCTTGGGAAGGTTTTGGAGTTGAGTATGTAATTGAAGAAGACGAGTATTGGTAGGGGATCCAAAATCTTGCTTGAGACAAGTCCAGGCTTCAGAGGATGTCGAAGTACCGACTATGTGTGGAAGAACATCTTCAGATAAAGAGGCAATGATCCAGCTGCGAAGCATTTGGTCACGCTTGCGCCAAGTGAGATATTCAGGATTGGGTTGAGAAGTACTATTGTCTACAATTATTTTTTATGGTGGTGCAACATCAGATCCATCTATGAGACCTTCTAGATCATGAGAAATTAGGATAGGTTCAAATTGTATTGTCCAAAGAAGATAATTGGTGGGAGTGAGTTTTAGAGAAAGGAAGTGAGACGGGTTCGGCATTGGAATTGTTTGATTATGAATAGGAATGGAGTTGGTTGTTGTGTTTGGAATTGTTTGATTAGGAATAGGAATGGAGTTGGTTGTTGTGTTTGGAATGGGTACAGAGGTAGCATCAGAAGAAGCCATAACGGAATAAGGATGTGAGATGGGAAGGCACTTGAGGATCAAAGGCAATCTGATACCATATAAGATTCAGGTTTCCTCACACAACAGTGTTGAGGTTTTCTTCTCTATTTATATACATGATTGTACAGTTACAAATATTCAAAAATTGAGATGTTACATATCAAGAGGGGCTGTGATCAAGGGATGGTTACAAAATAGATTAGGATATGGAGCAGCTGAGATCATGGAGATTCTATAATTGATGCAAAAGTAATTGTAAGATATTTACAGCTAATAGCAACAACGGTCACGTGTTAATTGATTGAAGTGTGGGGATACTTCCTATTTTCATAAGTATGCTAGTCATTGAGCGAAAATTAATTCCCTGCAAGGGATTATGGATAATAATCATTGTCTGCATAGTGATCCCTTTGAAAATTGTTGAGATTTTCTTGGATTTTATAAAAATTTGTTCTCTTCCAATGATGCGCAAATGAGCAGTGAGATCTTTGAGGCTGTATCCACTCGTGTCCCTTATCAGGTACACTGTTCTTTGTCTGTGGCCTATCGACGGGAGGAAATTGAGCGTGCTATTAAATCTATGGGTCCAACTAAAGCACCTGGGCCTCAAGAGATGCATGCTTTATTCTATCAGCACTATTGGGATATTGTTGGCTCTGATGTTTGTCAATTGTGTCTAGATGTTCTCAATGGGAGTGCTGGAGTTGCAGATTTTAATAATACGTTGATTGCTCTTATTTCGAAATTCCTTCACCATCTTGGGTAACAGAATTTCGCCTTATTAGTTTGTGCAATGTGCTTTATAAAATTATATCCAAAGTTATTGCCAACAGGTTGACGAAAGCATTGTCATCGGTTATCTTTGAATTCCAAAGTGCCTTTATTCTTAATCGTATGATATTGGATAATGTCCTTGTTGCTTTTGAAACTATTCACTGTCTAAAGCATAGGGGAAAGTCAGGGAAGCGCAAGATTGTCCTAAAACTTAATATGGCCAAAGCATATGATAGGGTTGAATGGGTTTTCTTGAAGCGTATGATGCGTACCATGGAATTTCCTGACCATTTTATTCAGCTGATTATGGAATGTATTACCTCTGTCTCTTTTTCTTTGCAATTACACGATCGGCCTTCTGTTATTCCTACCAGGGGTCTTCGCTAGGGTGAACTTATTTTGCCCTATTTATTTCTTATTGTTCCTAAAGGATTATATGCTCTCCTCCAAAAAGTTGACCGTGATGCTAGGGTCAAAGGGGTTTTCATCGCTCCCTCGGAGCCGTTTATTAATCACTTATTTTTTGCCGATGACAACTTATTATTTTGTGATGCTAAAGTTGACCAAGTTGAGGAGTTGAAAAGGATCTTCCGTGCTGCTTCAGGACAACATATAAACTTTCTAAAATCTGCTATGTGTTTTAGTCCATCCACCCATGCGGCACTTTAGTCTCAGCTTCAAGCTTTGTTGGGGGTGCCAGTTGTTCCTTGTCATGAACGTTATTTGGGTCTTCCTACTATGGCTGGTAAGAATATAAAAAATATATGTTTTGTGCTGTTAAGGATCGTGTCTAGAAAAAGATTATTGGTTGGGAATGCAAACTTATCTCCAAAGTTCGTAAGGAGGTTTTGATTAAAGCTGTGTATTAGACTATGCCTATATATTCCATGAGTGTTTTTCGAATACCTGTTGGTTTATGCTCTGAAATTGAAAGTCTTTTTGCTCAATACTGGTGATCAAAAGGGACTGACAAAGGTATGCATTGGAAGTCTTGGAAATATCTTAGCACACATAAGGATGATGGTGGATTGGGTTTTCCCTGACCTTGTGAGCTTTAACCAAGCTTTATTGGCTAAACAAGGGTGGCGTCTTCTTGAGTTTCCTAACTCTCTTATTGCCAGAATTTTCAAGGCTCGCTATTTTCTTGATTTTGATTTTTTTGCAAGCTACTGAAGGATTTGCTCCTTCCTTCACGTGACAATCTATTTTGTGGGGACGTGAGTTACTAACCCTTGGTCTGCGTTGGCGCATTGGCGCATTGGCAATGGGCGACTCATCAAAGTTTATGGTGACCCATGGATTCCTCAAAATCATGATTTTACTGTTCCATTGCACCCCAACTTTCTCTCAATGTCCGAGTGAGAACTTTAATTACTCCTAATGGCCCATGGACAATGGCGGAACCAGGAATTTTTCTGGAGGTGTGCTAAAATTTTAATTTTAATTTTTTGTATACAAGATCTATATAAACAATGAGAACCAATTTTATTTTTTTTTGGTATGCTAATTGATACAGTAAGAACCAAGTGGGAATCAGAAACTGAAACTGTGGGAAGCAGAAACACGAACAAAAGTACAATTCGTAGCAGTAGCATATCCAAAAAATGTACACAGAGAGGCATAAACACTAAAGCTTTGTTGCACTTGTAGATCTAAATGCTAACCTGTAAATCGGAAGAAGAAGAAAAGAGAAGAAACAATGGTTCCCACTCACGTGGCCTCCAAACCACAAAGTAATAAATAAAAAAACCCAAGTTATATTAATATATTGTTTCCCTCTTTTCGGCCGGGTAGGCCGACGGAAGGAGTTTTGGTCCTTCTTCTCTTGAGATGCGTAGGCGTGCCACCACCAAACCACTTGATGGCTTGGATGGAAAGATTGTGTGAGTGTGTTTGCGCTTCTGACTTCTAATCAAACAATTGATCGACCAAGCAAGGAACCTCCTCTTGGTCTAGGTTCTTTTTCTTCCTTGAGGTCAAGGATGATTGAGCTTTGTATGACTATTTTTAGGATTTTTGTGATAAGTGTAGTGAATGTAAATGCAGGAAATTAAATGACAGAAATGTAAATGTGATTAAATAGATTAAAGCGATAAAGACTTGAATTAAATTCGAATGTAAAGACAATTGGAATTAAATTGCAAGAAAGTAAGCTTACACTAGAAAAACGAAGAACTCGGATAATCTGAATAGCTTGAAAGATAAAATCCTAGACTATGAATTGAAAAGTACAGGATAAAGAGATAGATTTTGTGTGTTCAGTTGGCGGTCCTCTTCTTTTCTTCTGACGATCAATTTATAGAGCTTCCTTCAGCTCATGGGTTTGGCCATTAAATGGCCTCAACTAACTTTCATTGAAAATCCTTTCAAAATTAATGTCTTCCGGAGCTCTAGACATTTAATGAGAATTTTCCAACCATCATCGACTCCTATGGTTGGTCAGTAAAATGAGATCAGGATAGTAGGGTGGCTACAAATCTTCCCAAAATTAATGCCTTCCGGAGCTCTAGGCGTGAACTTCCTGACAATTTGCTTCTCTCACACCCTTGCTCAAACACCTTGGAGAACTCAATCTACCCTTGGTATTTCATGCACTCACTAGTTTCCAGCTACTTTACCTCTCTCTCACGGCTGCACTCTTGCCTCTATCTTAGCTTAGCTATATCTTCGACCAAAGATGAGAACATCTTGAACCAAGTCCTCAAATTAGGCTTCCATGTTTCCTGCAGGTTGTTCTCTCCTTTACCAATCAAAAGCAACTTAAAACAAAAGCCCTGCATGGAAAAACACCCAAGGAACCCAAAGAGAGAGGTTAAAAACATGTGGAAAAAAAATAGCACAGCAGAAACTAGACGGCCGGTTGCTTTTCTTCAATCTCTTGTGTCTTTTAGTTGAGCCAAATTCCTCCAACGGATCTTTCCTTCCAACCAAGGATCTTTGAGTTCGACGGAGGATTTTTCCACTGGACGAAGGATTTTTCCATCCAACCGCGGATCTTTAAGTTCGACGGAGGATTTCTTATGTAGTCGACGGAGGATTTTTTATGAAGTCGACGGAGGATTTCTTATGAAGTCGACGGAGGATTTCTTATGTAGTCGACGGAGGATTTTTTATGAAGTCGACGGAGGATTTCTTATGAAGTCGACGGAGGATTTCTTATGAAGTCGACGAAGGATTTTTTATGAAGTCGACGGAGGATTTCGCCAAATAATTGGTGGGTGGGTCTAATAATACCAATCATTCCATCCAACCGCGGATCTTTAAGTTCGACGGAGGATTTTTTATGAAGTCGACGGAGGATTTTTTATGAAGTCGACGGAGGATTTCTTATGAAGTCGACGAAGGATTTCTTATGAAGTCGACGAAGGATTTTTTATGAAGTTGACGGAGGATTTTGCCAAATAATTGGTGGGTGGGTCTAATAATACCAATCATGACATATACATATATATATAACTTAAACAAAAAGCAATAGGCCAATTGGTGGCCTCTGAGTCATCTTCAGAAAATTCCCACGCCATTTTCATATATATATGTATAAAAAGTGATTGTAATCATGCAAACACTAAAGCAAAGCTTTAGCCTTCCCGTCACTTTCTCCCACCAACACATAGTTTTATATTGAAAAGTTGGAACCCTTTACTTTGTTTAGCATCTTTTCTCTTCCCTTTTGCAGAGAATTCCTACGCCCCATTCATCAATTGCATCTGCTCCTCCAACTTCCCATAGCCAACTTGTGCATGCATTCCTTCATACTGACTATTTGGATGGTGGATTTTTAACCACTCAAACATTGCCCCCTTGATTTCTTAGCCTTTAGTTGACAAAAGGGGAAAGGAATCGAAAGTCAGGACTTATATGTTGGGATTCATGGATTTATGCCAGTCTCTGGC